AGGAATGACCTCAACATCTAGGTTTTCCTTTACCACATTTGGCATTCTTTATGGTTCTTACCCTTCAACCATGGTTACTTAAGTTACATCTATAAGTTGCAAGGTTATAGAGTTCTAAATGTTTTCTGCCCCACATTCTTGGAAATGCATTATATTTTTTGGAAAACCTACAGTCAAACTAGCTTTAAGCAGAGCTTTTGACCTTAGCAATAGCTTCTGCAGAACTGCCTTAGGCTCTCATCTCCCAAAGGATTGGAATGTACCAGAGCCAGGGGTAGAGACAAGGCCCCAGCCTGTACCTCAGGGCCTGAAGCATAAAGACCAAATTAAGGAAAACATGATGAAGAATCTTGCATTCCTCTACTCCAGCTGAGTGACCAGCCACTTACAAAATCATACTTTATGACTTTATGTACAATCATGTGTTACTTGGTAAATGGGCCATGTCTACTATTCAACAAACCTTGCTATAGCCTTTTGCAATTAAATATCAGTCAGGAAAATGGGGGAGTTTGAGCTAGGGTCATCTAATCTGTTTTGCACAGGGTTTGTAATTACTTTTCAATCCTGGAATACAATGAAGATTTACATGGTATGCTTAACCAGTTATATATGCCAAGGATATCTATGCACAATGAATTTTTCTTTTTTTGTCATAGAATTAGGTTTTCTATCTCTTAATTTAAGAAGGTAAAGCCTGTCTTAGAAAAATTTTCTTACTATACTATTCTTCATAGCACCACACTTAAAATTTTGGGCAAAATTGTTGAGGCTATTGCAAAGAAGTGTAGTTCTAGAAGAGTTAAATTGTGTTTTCAAATTAGAAAAATATTATTTGTTTAGAAACAAAAGATAAAAAATGATTGAAATGATGGAAGAGTCTGGTTAATAAATGGGTTCCACGCAATTGAAGTTTTATCGTATAACGGTGTTTTACTCCCATTTTCTTCCAAGTGGTTGCAGGAAAGGACGTAATTTTTAGCAAAAGTTTGTGAGCTTTTGTTTTGTTTTGTTTCTTATTGTTAAGTCTGTTTTGAAATGGTACTTAAGTTTTCCTTCAATTTTTCACTTATGCTGGTTTTGCTTAAATATAAGTTTAACTCTTCAAAATGTAATTGGACAAAAATTGCTTGAGACATCATAACTTTGATCCATTAGACCTTTGAGGAAAGGTTCATATTTAATCCTACAGAATCTCATCTCAAATTAATTTGAGAGTTCTGATGGCCTAGGCTCTAGTTTTGGAGAGGAGGAGACTTTCAGTTGAGTGCTGTGAGTTGGTGATTGCAATGCAGAACCACGTCTTACATCCTTCTCAGCTGTGATTGTGGTTATATTTCATAACTTGTTATTCCAGCTGTGGGAGAGTTCATTGAGATGTTACCGAGTTATTATCTTTCAAGTGTAGGTTTAAGATTTAATGATGTTTTTCCTCAAGACAGATCATAAGTATGTTTTCCACTGAGATTTTAAAGAGCTATTGTCACTACCCCAATTTGAAATAACAGACTTTGCCTTTTCTAAATCTGACTTTTCGAGTAGGTGCAGCAGCTAAAATTAGTTTGGTATTATGAAAACTCAAAAGCTTTACCCAAAAAGAAGTAACTTTTGTGATGGTATACATGAATCACAAGTATCCAGGTACATTTCTACTGGAAAATATGATAGAACAGAGGAAGACTTTGAATCAATCCATCTTTTTTCTTATTAACTAATCTAAAAAGAAAAATGTATGGTAAGAGACTAAAGTGATAACAAAGATTCTTAAAAATTATCTTAGAATCTCATTTACAGTTGATTGGCCATCTCTTGTCCCTCATTAATGTTTGGCCATATGACACTAGCAGCAGTTCAGTAATGACCTCTACTATGTCTGAGAACTCGCTTGGCATTGATGTGTACAAAGAAGGTGAGGGTCTGTCCCTACCCTGGAGGAGCTCATAAGTGGGAAAGATGCCCACATAATCAGCTAACTGTAACAATAAGTTATTGCAGCTTCCATATTAGTGATATGAACATGAGATATAAGTAACAAGTTGTGTGTTGTCTTCTATAAGGCACATAGATATAGTTATTGATTTAGTTTTCCAGCAAGAGTTAAAATTACCCAGTTGAAGACTTTCACTTATCTCTGTGTCGTAAGCAGGAAAGGTAGTCAAGAAGGTAGTCAACCACAGGTACAGTGCTTAAACATGAAATTGAGTTTACTCTGCCTAAAATTTACTGAGGTGGAAATCAGACTGCAAGCTTGGTGTTGCTAATGCCACACCAAAAGCAACAGAGAGAGTTGGCCTAGAATAAACTGTCTAAGACCAGGACCAAATTTACTTTTAAGTTTTTTATAAACAAAAGCCAAACAACAAATGCCCTTGGTCATATCCTGTTTGTGTCATGGTTTGGTTTCAGCACAGTCAGCCCCACCAGTGGTCTCAACACAATAGGGTGTCCAAGAAAGGATAATGTACTGTGGACATGTTACTTAGTGTACCTCAGGCATGGGGGTGCTGCCTCAAGTTCCCAGATCCCAGCTGTCACCTGGAATGCTTTCTCTCCCCAAATATATGAGAGCCCTTCTACACACAATAGAAGGAAAAACCTTAAGTACCCCTTGATGCAATTGTGCACCAATACCACTGGGATATAAAGTTCTAAGATATCAGGGACTGTGTTGGATTCACTTCTCTATCCCTAGTACCTCAAGCAGTGCTTGGCACATATGAATAAGCACATATAGAATGACTGAATTAATGATTACCACATTATGAACCTCACAGATATCTTGGTACATTTCCTTGAACTAGCCATTTAAGGGAAAGGGGGAAAAAGAGGACTTAGAATGGTTCACTGCCAGACCCTGTCATGTTGTACTAGTTTGCTAAAATGTGTGCAAACAGGAGGGTCCAACCAAATAGGTTGTCCTTTATCTACCCTACCATAATCCAGACTTCAGTTATCCCAGTGGCTTTTGTTAGAAAAAAAAAAAATCAAAGCCTGTGTTTCTTTGTTCACGAGTCAGTGGAGAATTGGCACAGAGCTCTGTGTAGTTCGCGGAAGGGAGGACTTAACTGAACTTTTCAACAAAATGTTTTCTTTCTGACTCCTCTAATACATATTTGGCATGAGAATAATGATTTAAAATATTTGTTTTTTCATCTATGTAAGGATTTTCTACGAAATATTCCAGGAAGTATTTTTTCGTCAGATCTCTATGATCGCTGGGTCTGTGTAATGGATCAAGGAAATGATGAAGAGAAAATAAACACAATTCAAAGGTAATTATTCTAATTTGGTCATGTCTCAAAAATCCTTTTTAATCACTTATATTTTATAAGCTTGTCTATTAAAAATTAAAGTCATATTCATGGGGACCAGTTTAAAAATAGACTTATGCTAGCTTGTTATTGTTTTTCTCCCTAATTCTATTAACATGGAATACTTGAACATTGTACACATTCTGTCTATCTGAATTGATAGGAAGTAGAATTCATTAGTTCACTAGCTAATACTGTAGGCCCACCCTACAGTTTATGATCTTAATTTTGGTAAATATTTAACTAACCAGACAAATCCTCATATAATTCATTGAGCAACTGAAGTACACAGAGAAAATGACCTATTCCCTCTTCTCAAGAAATTCAGTTTGGTAGAGTAAAGATAGATAAACCAAGAATTACAACAATAATGCAGTATAATCAGTGATATACAAGAGCTATTTGGAGAATACTGTGGGAGCACAGCAGAGAATCAGTTAGCTCCTTGAGAAGTGTCAAGGAAAAAGGGAGTTGCAAAGTCTCAGTCTGATCACAAAGAATGTACTGTTTCTATTCACACAAAGGGAAATTGCTGGTAGAACTCACCACCCCATTCCTGGATATTTCCAGCATTATAAGAGAATAGGAAAGAAATGGCCATTAACAAAAAGCAATACTTCCGGTTCCGTGAAAACTCAAGAATCCTAGTATCATTTATTTGTATGTGTTTGTTTAGTACAGTTTTTTTTTTCCTTGAGCAACTTTCAGATAGGAATGATCCACGTACTGATATTGATAGACATATTTCATAGGTAGAACGTAGTACAGCTGCTGAAGATACCAGAAACTAAAGCCATGTAACAAAATACTATTAATACCTCCACTCTCATTATAGTTTGGTGTAAACCAGATAGCATCAAATTCTATATTTGGTTGCTCATTGTCCAAAACATTTTATGTGTGTGTGTGTGTGTGTGTGTGTGTGTGTATCCCATAAGCTGTTAAAGGGTGATTTTAAAAAAAAGGTAGTATTATGATACTCATGCAAATATAAAACAAACACATGAAAGATTTTATTTAAACTTTAAGGGAACCAAGAAGATGTTTTAACCACCTTCATAGATTTCAAAGTATCACAACTTATGTACTTGAATCAGAAATACTGAAATGAATTTTTAAAAGATGCAAAACTAACCTTTTCTATTAATACTAGGGCAGGGGTACAGATAAACCAGACAGAATTTTCAAGTCTTTAGCCAAGTATTAGGTACACTGCTGTCAGTTATCTACAACTTACAGAGTTGTAAATAGCTCTTATAAAAAGCTTAGGGATCCTATAGTATCCCAGAAGCGTATGCTAGATGCTATTTTCCATTGAATATTCCCAGTAATCTTCCGGTCTATTTCAAAGTCCTTCATAACTTATCCTTACAAAAACTGTACTCATTGTCAATCTGTTGTACCAAAGAAAGGCTTTTCTGCTATTTGGGCAATAGGAGTCAGACTACCTTGTTTTCCCCAGGTTACAGATTCTTATTGATAAAAGCAATAATCATGAATGTCAGCTTATATATGTTTTCTGGATAGTAGTAAAAATCATTTTTGGTAAAATAATCATTTAAAAATCCCTTATCAATTACCAAATGGGAATAGGGTAAAATATACTACTTTGACTTATATGTGAAAGTGATACCAAGGAGACAAGATTTGGAACAAAATAGACCTTAGGAGATGGTGGAGCAGAGCATAAACTCTCCAAATGGACCTGGAACTCTTTATAGCTGAGGTTTGGGTTCTCACCAAGAGACAGCATTCCTGTGTTGCTACTTGGAAATAAAGGAGCACTATAAATTTAATTGCTGTTTAATTTTCTCAGAAATGTTTTGTGGGTTTTGGTTGAGAATATTCTGAAATGTTACAGGATTTACGTAAGTTTGAACACACTGTACTAGTTTCAGGGAAATATTTCAGGTAGCATTTTTTTTTTAATGAGACATTTTTCTGCATTCTTTTACGTTTTCATTGGGCTATGAAGACAGTATAGAAAAAGGCAAAAAAATAAATTCCCAGTACTTATTTTCTCTTTCTGAACAGGCAGTCCTCACTTTGCTGGGGGCCATGTTAACTGAAACCTGCACATCCGAGCTGGGCTCTCGATTTGCCCTCTTCCTCATGCAAAGTTAGGGTTGCCTGTCTTTACAAGTTTTTTAATGAAATGTCTTGCTTAAAGAGTGCATTTTTCTGTCTTTAGGCTATTAGACCAGCTTCCAAGAGCCAATGTTGTTCTCCTAAGGTATCTTTTTGGGGTTTTACACAACATTGAGCAACATTCTTCATCCAATCAGATGAATGCATTTAATTTAGCGGTGTGTATCGCTCCAAGTGTTCTTTGGCCTCCTACTTCCTGCAGCCCAGAACTAGAAAATGAATTTACAAAAAAGGTAATGAAGTTTTTCATTGTATGCCCTGGGAGACTGAATCCCCATTTTGAAACTGAAATTTGGGGTATTAATCCTGAAAGATGATTTCTTAAATAACTTAAGTACACTTCCTTATAAATTTGAGTTTACTAACTATGGAGTGTTTTATTCTATCCTGGTAGACTATAGGAAAGTGATTTGTCAAGCAGAAAAGTGACAGCAATTGATTTACTTCTCTTTTCCCTTTAAGCAGGCTGAACACTATGACTGACTTAATAAGAAAGCAGCTGACATGATTTTAAAAATTAAAAAAAAACCCACAAGACGTTGGAGTTAAGTAAGCCAAGGTTCAATTCTCAGCCCCACCACTTGCCAGATGTATAATCTTGGGCAAAATCTGTTACACTGACCCACAGCGTCCTCATCTAAAAAAGTGGAAGTGGTGATAATACAGTAGTTACTTAAAAATCATCATACTCTTATAGTACCTGGCAGTTAATAAAGTATTTGGCAATATCAGTTTCATTTGCTCTCAACATTTTTCCTGCCCCTTAGCCTCAGCTACTGGGAGAAGGAAACTATAGAGGGGTTCCATTACATCCCAGTGGAGGTACAAAGCTTCCTAATAAACTCTTGTCTCCTCCCCAAGCACCTCCAGTTAGGGAGCCCAGTGGAAGGCAGTGCATATGTAGACTAGTCAGTCAAATGCATGGGTAAAGACTGGTCAGGAAAAACACAAGTTTTCTTTCTAGCTGTCTTTTTCCTTCACAATACATCTGCAGAGGGATCCCTCTTTCCCAAGCTTTTGACATCCTGCCCTTTACATGAAAAAGATTTTCCATAAGTCTTTGTCCGATGGTGCTTTATAAATTTTAATAACAGTATATTTCTTCACCCCAGACACACTATTGAGAATACTTCAAATTATTCTAATTTTAAAGATAGAGAGCCATTGGTATAAAATGTTAACATTAAGCCAAGGCCACAAATAATAATTTCAATCCACTGATTAAAATTAATTTCTACTCCCAGTGCCCAAACTACTCTTGAAAATATCATAGTTTTTTAGAGGAAACTATTTTATGTACTCTTAAAGGAGATATGAATTCTCAGGACACATTTGCTTTTTTGTTGTTAAAATCAGAATTCACATATGAAATGTGATTTATAAGATGTTATATGAAAACTAGCACTTCATTTTTGTCTTTTTTTGTATAGGTTACCCTGCTTTTACAATTTCTGATTGAAAATTGCTGTAGGATATTTGGAGAAGAAATCACTTCCCTCTTCGGAGAGGTTTCAGGGAGATGTGACACTAGAGGAAATGCCTCAGGTATTGTGAATAATTGGATTGGTTTTTGTGAAAAATAGACACATGTCTGTGAAGATGCTGGGACAGTGGTTTTCCTGGAGCCCATGGCAGCTAAGGTGAAGGGAGCCTCTGACCTGGGTCAGTGGGGCCCAGGGCTTCTGATCCTTTCTTAGAGGGCCTGCTAATGTGTCAGGGTATGTTAACAGTTTGGTACGGTTAAGAAATGTATAAGATGAGGTCCCAGCTTCTAAGAAGTTATTAGTGGCAGCATGCTATGGTATGGTGATTTGAATCTTTTCTTAAATAAAACTTTATGAGGAACCCTAATATATATGGTAGAATTTGCTATGGTTGAAACTGGAATAGAAAGCCCACAGGTAGTAGAGGCAGGCCTGGTTTTGTTCTTCCTATCCTTCCTCTTCCTGGTCCCTGAAATACTTCTCAGAATTCCAATGTGCTATGAGATGGTTTGAAAACAACTGGCATCATTTAGAGGGTGGGGGACACTGAATTCAAAGACAAACAACCTTCTAGAATATGAATTCCTGTACCACCAGTTACTAGTTATCCTCCATGCCACTGAACATCAGTATCTTCATCTATAAAATGTGGGTAAAAATAATGTCTTCATGGTTTAAAGTATTAAATAAGATACGGGTATTAAAGAACTTTGTAAAAGAGAAATTGATAGGTTAGTAAATGGATTCTCTAAGACTAGAGTTAATTATCAATATGTATAAGAACCAGCAATCCGTGTTACAAGGCAGAGTCTTACCCAGAATCTAGGTATATCTGGCATTAATTCCTTCATATTTTTCACATGGTTTTATGACATGTTCCTTGTTTTGAGAAAATCTTATGTAAGGAAAGCCCATTCATCAGAACCTGAGATAAGTCTAGTGTACCTCAATAGGTGTTTCTTCTTTTATTCTGTACTAACATTTGGGAAGATTTTGAAAGATTCTTTCTTTCTTGAGAGTAGGAATTTGAATACTGTACGTGAAAAAAGAATTAAACTAAGCACCATAGTTTTTTTTTAAGGCAGTATGGGCTGTATTTGTGCTAAGTAAAAATGTTAATCATGGTTTGATTTTTTTGACAGATATTTCTCGCTTCCAACTGAGTGACTCCTCATATGACAGCTTGGAAAATGAACTAAATGAGGATGTTGATACCCCATGCAGCAACATGGTAAAGAAACTTGGCCAGGGGAGCAGAAGCATGGACTCTATTTTAACGTTCAGTGACTACGACTTCGACCAACCTGAAGTGGAAGACCTTTTAACCCTGAATGACTTTGACTCAGACCATTCTAAAGAAGATCATGCTCAAATGGAACACCCTCTTGAATCCAAGCCGGTGAACGTTAGAATGTGCACGAATATCCCACCACAGGATCCTGCTGAGGCCCCGTCTGGCACACGCAGCCACCTGTCCACAGCTGCAGCAGATGCTGCAAAAATCGTGAGGCGAAACCGGCGCTGCTCAGAGCCCAGCATCTACTATCTGGATTCAAAGCTTTCCTATCTCAGGGAGTTTTATCAGAAAAAGCTACGCAAGTCCAGCTGTGATGCAGGTCTCTGTCAAAAAGATGAGGACTATCTGAAGCAGAATCAACCACTCCAGGAAGGGGTCAAGACATATTTTAAACAGAGTTTGTTCTCAAGCACTGACACCAGCAAGAAAAATTCTACTAATCCAAACATTAAGAAGAAAATCTTGCCTAGTAATGAAGGAAATTATATGAAACTTTACCATAATTCCAAGCCATTGGCCATTTCTGTGTCCTCACAGGATCATTTCAAGAACCAGCTGTTTGATGTGGATACATCTGGATACTCCCCACCACACACAGCAGATGCTCTCAAGAGTTCAAGGAAACACCGGCGCTGCTCAGAGCCCAACATAGATGACCAGAAAGGCAAGCTGTCCCTTCTCTGGGGGATTTGTTCAAAGCAGCATAAAAGCAGCTGGGAATCTGTTCTCTCGCATGAAGAGGATTATCTCAAACGGCATAAGTCTTTGCAAATAGAGGGACAAAAGCTTATTAGTCAGAGTTTGGTCCTGGGGATTGAGGTGGGCAAGAGTAGTGCCACAAACCAAAACACTGAGAAGGTTTTACCCCCAAGATTAAACCTTTGCCCAAGGACTAGCTATTCCAGCTTATCCTCTCCAGGCACCTCCCCATCAGGCACACCGGTGAGCTCCCAGGACAGTGCTTTTTCTCAGATTTCTGAACACTCTCTGTTTACACCCACTGAAACTTCCTCTCCAATAGATTGTACTTTTCAGGCTCAAAGAAAACAAGAAAAACTTTCTTCGGACTCTAGCAGTTCCAGCCTTGTTTCTGGAATGCCTGGTCCCTCATTAGGACAGGCCAGCAGTTACCCAGCTTATACAAAAAAGGACACCAAAGAATGGCATTCACAAACACATTCTGTAACTCTTCATCCTACAACATGGTTGAGAAATGGTGTGGCCAGTTTAAAAAACTGGTCTCTCAAAAAGAAAGCAAAGGCTGCCAGACCAGAGGAAAAGAAAACGGGTTCCCTAAAAGGACCCTTGGAGCTACCTCCAGATGCTTCTGGTGTTCTAGAAGACAACTCACTGCAAGAGAAACAGAATGACATTTCCTTAAGGGCGGCTGAGGGACTGGGAGCTGTGCAGTCAGCCCAGTGGTGTGGTTCTCCCCCCTGCCAGGACTCAGGCGGACACTGCAGCTCTCGATTCAGCCTGGTGGAAGGCAAACTCAAACTGTGTATGAAGTCCCATGAAGAAGTAGAGCATGGTGGCCAGGGCTCTTCCCTGCCTTGTGAAAGAGCCTCAGCCAGCTCTTGGACTGTGGAGGCTGTGGCCAGCCCAGACTCAGGGCCTGCAGTGGTCTGTGATGTTAGGGACAAACATTTAACCAAAGACATTTAACCACAATAAGAAACTGATGTCCACAAGAATAGGAAGTGGGATAATAACAACAACATAAAGACAATAATTATTATGACCCCTTTGTATAAGTTACCTGGGAGAGGTAGCATAAGTATAATCATTGCTGATACTTAGGACAGCAAAATAATTCTCTTTATTAAGACTGTTTTGCAAAAACTTTATGGTAAAAAATTTTGTCACTTAAGTGTGGAGGCTTTTCCTTGTTAAAGCACGGGATTGGTCCTGTCATGTAGTTTCAGAGATACTAGCAGAGGGCTAGAGAACGCATCTTCTGTAGAGGAAGCATGCCTGTGTGAACAGTCTGTGAGATTAGTGTCCTGAGAAGACCAGGATGTCACAAATGAGGAGTAAGGGACTGGGGAGAGAGGGGAAGTTGTACAGAGAAACCATCCACATTTTAATAAGTAGGCAACAAAAATGCTACTAATCAAAGCATGAAGAAGAAAAGCATGCCTGATAATGAAGAAAATCACATAAAACTTTTCCCTAAATCTAAGCCAGTGGCCGTTTCTGTGGCATTTTACAGTCATGTGTCCTCACAGAATCCTTCCAGGAACCAGCCTATTCATGCTGCCAGAGTGGAGAAAGTAGTGATTCAAGACCCCTGGGGAGTGTGATGTCAGTTTTTTTTGTGGGGGGGGCTCCATTTGTTGATTTGTTTTTTCATTAGTGATGAAGAGCTTTACAGAGGCTTCAGGAAAAAGATCTGTGAGGGAAAAGGAAGTGGTGGTTCATGATATCCTCGTCTTCTCAGGATTCGTAGTGCTTTAATAAGGGAAAGCCTACCAAACACTTAGGTGACATAACTCTTTACCGTTACAGTTTTGCCAAATAGTCTTCCCTTTCAAAGGTGTCTGTTCTAGGAACACTATTCAGAAATGCAACTTTTCCTATTTATTCTATTAATTTTCCTATTTAGAAGGTGACCTCCTAACAGCATTCGCTATCTTAGTGTTGAGGAAAAGACTGTAACAACTGTCCTTTCTCAGTTACACAAATACTGTTACCAGCATGTAATCAAAGCATGGCACCTCTGTGCTGAAATGTTTCCCTGCAGCCCTGCCTCTTAGATTACATTCGGCCAGAAAAAGTTTTTTATAAATCATTTTTTTCCTGATCTTTGTAGTTTGGCATTTGAACGATTTAGAGTTTGGCAGGTTATAAGGAGTCACAGAATAGAATATCCCACCAAGTGGCTGCCAGGCTTTCTGAGACAGTCATTGTCTTTGGGTTTTCTTACTTCCAGGAGTTTTTTCATATTTTTGTACCGTGGTTCATGGTTTACACCCCATTAGTTTCTTTCAGATCCCTGGACCTTTCTCCTGTCTCTTGACTTAAAGGCTACAACCATACATCTCCTCACCTAGGAATAGACTGTCAGGCCTTGCCAACCAACATGAAAGGATGGCACTAAAAATGGATGTGTATGTGCCTTCATTCATGTTAACTGCTTACCCATGAGAAGTTGCTTTGAGCCCGTTTGATCTCTTTAGTCCACCATCAAATGGACCTTTCTCCCACAAAATAGGTTATTCCAAATTGTTTTTCTTACCAATCACTAGGAAACTGCCATATCAAATGTTCTTTCCTTGTTGTCCTAAAGTTATGGGGGAAAAAAATTTTTCTTTAAGATTGAAGAAGTTATTTCAGTATTAGCTATATAGGTGCTACCTACCTCTTGGGGACATGGCCCTGTTTGCCCTAATGATTATGATTAACTTTCAGAACTCTGTGTCCAAAGAGCTCCTTCATGACACTGGCCATCTCAGTTACAGATGTGAAGTCAATTTCACCTTATAACTAACCACTCCCAGATATCAAGACTCATTAAGTATCCATAGGCCTCTTTTGTGGTATAATATATAAAGTCAGCAGGGATCCCCCCACCCCCACCCTTAGGGCATACTACTGTCAGAACTGCAAGATGTGTATCCTTCCTAGGGGACCAGGAAAAAAAAAAAGAACTACAAGATGTGAATGAAACTCTTAGAGCTTGGAGTGTCTTTCTGGAAGAAATTGCTTCTCTATTTACCAAAATAATAGTTCTAGCATTTTTTTCTTTAATATTGGCAGGTAGAAAATCATCCACCCAATTTGAAGCATTGAAGAAAATAATTGCTGAGTTTTTTTAAGTAACCATTCCTACTCTTTATGTTCCCTTAGATACTCCTGTAATACTTAATGTGAAGTTTGTTAATATTGTTGTAAAGTATTATATATTGTATGATTTGAAGACAGATTACATGTCATTTTAATATACTCCAATCTATAATATATTAGACTGATGCTTTATCTAAAAGGCTTTGAGTTTGTATAATATATCCTGACAAATTTTACTACCATATGTTATGTAATAAATGTGTATTTTTGTACTTGCAGAAACTGCTGCTAACTTGTAAAGTTGTTTGGTTTTCAGGCACTGATAATGGATATTTATGAAGTCCATGCTGTCTGTTAAATAAAATGCCATTCTGCAGAGGTAATAATCCCACCAGAGCAATATTGCCCATTGTAAAATTGTTCTAGTTAATGAGCCAAATCTCTGCCTAATATTGGAAATTTCACAGAATATAATTAGTGTTGAATTGGAACTTGGAGCTTTTAGTCAGAAGCCCACAGTCAGTCTTTTCTTAAAAAAAGGGTTTTTTCTTTTATATTTTCTCTAATCTTATTTACTAAACAAGTCATGTTTTAGACACAAAGTCTTCATTTTCTATTTTTTTAAATTTAATAACCAAGACTCAGATTAAGAAAAAAATTGCCACAGCTAGGATTAAAAGAGAATTTAAATCTACATGAAAATAATTCATCTAAATTGATGAAAATAGGCATGATGTTTTCATTGTGCTCCTAGAATGAGATGTGGTCAATATTTTTATATCAAAAGAACATCTGCTCACTGTAATCGATTGTGTGAGATTCTCTTTTCTAACATTGGACCATTCTGACCAGAGTACCCAGTTGACCCCAGACACATACCAAGACATCAGTGCTTTTCAGGTCACATAAACTTATTAATTATGACTGGATTCTCATGACTGCTGCATCTTTGCCTTTCAGAATTCCGAATTTACATTTCCCTCTATGTAAATTTAATTGCCATTTCAAAGGGATTCAGAAAAATATACTACCTTAGTCCAGAAAAAATTAATTTTTTGCTCTAATTGGCGATGAAGATTCCTCTGTTGGAAATGGCACTGGTTATATTTGGGCAATGTATAATACACTGATGTTAATTTCTCTCTAAATTTTACATAAATAAACAATTTGCTTTTTAAAAAAAATCCATTGATGCTTTCTGATATTAAAAAAATTAGTCTACTAAAAACATTGGATTTAAGAAATTATCGCTTGTGCTTTTCATGATACGACATTAGATTGAAAGGAACTAATTAATGTATCTTTGAACCAACTGCATATTTTTTCTTTTGAAAAATCATTCTAAGCATATCATGTATCTTGATCTAAATTCTGGTAGTAGGTGTTTAACTCGTATTTCCTACCAGGTTATGTTTTAATGACTTGAGAGGACATCTCTGCAACTGCCTATTTCAGTGCAAAGAAAAATTCATTACCAAGATACTTTTAGTAAATAAGTCTTGTTCCCTGAATAATAAAGTTGGGTACAATGTTGACTTTCTTTAATATCTATGCTGGTTACAAGGATTTCTCATAAGCTAAATTTCCTCCTGAAAGGAAGAGTACTCTTGAGTTCCGCACTACGCACCCTGAGTGAGTCCTCCTCTGTTTGAGTCGCCTTCATGTTGCACTCAGGTTTTGTTTGCTTTGTTTTTAAATGCAGTGAACTCCTTGAGCTTCACCTCTGCATGGTGTCAGAAGTTATGGTAGAATGTTCTATAAATATCTGTTAGGTCCATTTATTTTAGAGTCTTGTTTAAGTCAGTGTTTATTTTCTCCTTTGATGATTTGTCCAGCTCTGACAGTGGGGTGTTGAATTTCCTGGCAATTATACTACTAGTTATTTCCTTGCTTAGCACTAGCAGAATTTGCTTTATGTATCTGGGACCTCCTGTGTTAGATGCATATATAGTTAGGATTGTTATGTCTTCTTGAATTGCTCCCAATACCATTATATAATGACCATCTTTTTCTTTACCACTGCCGATTTAAAGTCAATTTTTTTCTGATATGAGAATGGCTACAACTGCTGTCTTTTGGTTTCTGTTTATGTGTATTTTTTTTCTTCACATTGTGCCTGTGTGTGTCCTTGTGCTTTAGATGTGTTTCCTAGAGACAGCGGATACTTGGCTTGTGTTTTTTTCATCCAATCAGCCTATGTCTTTTGAATGGAACATTGAAACCGTTAATGTTAAGTGGCAGAATTGACATGTGGGATGCTCTTTTGTTCATCATGGTGGGTAGTACCTTATTGCTTTGTTTTTCCTCTTGTGCTATTGTTTTGTAAGAGTTGTGAGCTTTAGCTTTTTGGGGGTGATTTTACACTGACTGGTAACTATTGTGCCGATTCCTATATAATGCCATTCTGAGTATTTCCTGCAGGACAGGTCTGGGCACAACAAATTCCCTCAGTGTTTGCTTGTCTGGAAAAGAATTTCTCCATCAATTTTGAAACTTCATTTTTCAGGATACAAAATTCTTAGCTGGCAGTTGATTCTGTTTAAGAAGATTGAAGATGGGGCCCCAATCCCTTCTGGCTTGTAAGGTTTCTGCCGAGAAGTCTGCAGTTATCCTGATGGGCTTTCCTTTGTAGGTTTAGTTGTTGCTTTCATCTTGCTGCTTGTAGAATTTTCTCCTTCATTTTGACTTTGGCCAGTTTCATTACTATGTGTCTTGGAGATGTCCTGTATGCTATGAATCTTCCCAGTGTTAGATGACCATCTTGTGCCTAGATGTCTAAATCCCTGGCAATACCATGGATCTTTTCCTCAATAATTCCCTTGAATAGATTTTCCATGCTTTTAGCTCTTTCTTCATCTACCTTAGGGATACCTATGATT